ATTGGGCCTAGCTTCTAAATTCTGACCATTGATCTCAAAACCCATAGTGCAAGTCAGCATATTTTTTGGAAAGTTTATTCTCAAAAAACCCACGTGACTACCTAACTTTGAAAAAGTCAAAAATTTCAACAATTAATGACTATCACAATTAATGGAAAGTCAATTCTCAAAAAACCCATGTGACTACCTAACTATCATAATTAATGAAAGCAAGTTTTACAGGAAGACTTCTCTAGTCTTTACAATCAAGGAAGAAGATCAAAATCCATTTCTATATACAAAGAAAAATCTGCTCCAGAGCAGGAACCATTTCCAAGGGATAAGCAGACTACATTTTCTAAGGAGATAAGTAGGGAGCAAGGAGTTGTTCATCAGAAAAAGCAAACTACCCATCACGACATATTGAATTTTTACAAGGAGCAGTTAAGGGTTAAAAAAGGATTAGGTTTTCTTTCAAAAACAGAGAAGTAATCATCATAAGAACTGACTGTTGATGGCTTTTTGACAGAATAGATAAATTCCCCTTTTCTTTAAAGCCAACGATTAAGGCCTCATATTCTGCCCTGTTGTTGGTGCATTGAAAATCCAATTGGAAAGAGTAACAGTGTCTGATTCCAAGTGGTTCTTCCAAGACAATTCCTGCCCCTGAAGTTACTTTTCTTTGACATTTAAAATAAAAGATCTTGCTTTTTAGAAAATGTGCTGCCCATTATTAAAAGATTAGAAATCTCACTCCAGCATTTTCTATAAAAATGAGAGGAGGTGAACAGATCGAAGGACAACCAAAAAATCAATCAAAAAACAAAAACTCAAAATGATCAATTGATCTCAAAAACCTTCAAAACACTAAAGCAACTAAAGCTGATTGAGCCACGAGAAACAAATCAGCTATAATTCAGAATCTCTAACTTCTGTTCAGTTCAAAGAAATAGTCATACAAAGCGAGATTTTTCTCATTACAAATTTGGTTCAGCATAAGCCAAATCAAGCAGAGTCCGGGTTTTTACAAGTATGAAAACCTCAACAAATTTATGGAGAGCCCTGATCAAGCAGAACAGGTACTATGGTGCAGTTCCAGCTCAGTAATCTTCAAATCCAGCCACTTCTGCCCCTTCCAGACTGAAGAGGTTCCAATTCTGCCCGTTTAAAAAGCCTTTTAGGGCTTGAAATAGATTAAAGCTATGCCAAACTCGAACGTTGGCATCGATTTACAGCTGAAACTTGACAGTTGAAGGTGTTGATAGTCCAGTCTAGCACATACATACCCAGTCTAGCCCAATCTAGCCCAGTTGAAATTGAAGTCCAACGTCCTTTTTGTCCTTTTTAGAGTTAGTCTTTCCTTTTTGAGCTTTGTGAAAGGGAGTTCTGCCTGAAAACAGTTCACTTTCTTATCATTTATTCTGGCCAGAACCACCAGTCTTGTACTGTGAAAAATTGTGAAGTCCTCACCAGTCTAAGGCAAGAAAAGAACTTACTTGGGAGATATTCCTCACCCAAATTCACAATCGCTTGTTTTGAAATTAGTAACTTGGGGCGCAAGTTATCCATTTTTAAGAAGTCTGCAAGGGTTTTTATTACTAGCAGTGGCACGCTCATACACAAAAAAAAGTTGACTTGTTGACCACAAATGGTTTTCAAGCCAATGGGAAACTTTACCCCACCATCACAGGAACAAATATGAAACAAGTGAACAGTATTTTGGTTAATAAGGTTATAAAAGCAAGCTATTGGTTTGGTTTCGGCCTTTACCATGTGACACGAGACTTTCCGTTTATATACATATATTGTTATTATTACTATTAATATTATCGTTTTATTTTGATGATTGTTATTATAATTCACTTATGGTTTGATAGAGGGGTTTGGTGTCAGTAAGGATCTAATTAAATGTCGATTATATGTTTACACTCAAATATATGTCTATGTGTTTGGGTTATGGGTACATTGGATATTGATGTGGGTTTTAAAAGGTTGTGTTGGAAAGTGAATAATAAGGGCTATGAATTCTGGTTTGCTGAATGGTATATTATACGTAAGTGGAATTAATTTGAGAACGGATGTTGAAAGTTATGGGTGATCTGATTCAAACTAGTGAGTTTTTAGGATGAAATACGTGATTATGGGAACTTCGGGAATGCTTATTATTATTACTATTATTATTAGTGCTATGAATATTATTTATAAAAGATTTTGGTGACTTTGGGTATGATATGGATTTTGATTTTGGTGTATTAGTTTATGTGGTTATCGAACTTTGAATTTGTATATCTTTGAGAATTTTAGAATTGGTATGTATATATTGACGGGCTATGGTTTTGGGAATTTTAAATATGGGTTTTGGATTTTATTATCTTGTCTTATGGGATTTTCAGAGGTTGTATATTTCCTAAGTATATGAATAGTGTTTTGAATATTAATAAAATCGGATGGGCTTATTTAGTTTTGGTGTTTTCTTAATTATGGTTTTAATATGGTTTTCAAAAGGGAAGTGTGGGTGTTATTTTATTGGGAGTTTCACTAAAACACCCAAAATGGGGGTTGAAATTATAAAAAAACCCAAGCACTATTTAAACATATAAACACACCCAAAACCCATCATTACACACACTCAAAACCCATTTATAAACACACCCAAAAAGTTGACTTTGAGGTTGATTTTGGGTGTGTTTCTATGTTTAAATAGTGCTTGGGTTTTTTTATAAATACATGTCTAGGATTGGGTTTATTTATAAATTTTTATATTTTATTACATATATATTTATGTTATATGGAAACTATTTGTTTTTGGAAATTGGATTTTGAGAATTTTATCTTTATTAAATATTAGTTTATGAAAGTGGATTTTGGATCTTGGCGATGACACGCCATTTCATGTACCACCCCCACCCCCTTGGATACTGATACTGGAATTGATGGATAATGGATGCTTGGAAACTGTGGTTATGGTTTGGATATGATCGGAACCCCGGGCACCCTTGACGGGATGTTTCGTAGACCATTAGAGGGGTAGTCTGCGTGCGTAAGACTTGTTACAAGTGCACGAGTATTGAGGATTTTAATGTGCGTGCTTGGAGCCCAATTCCCCGGTTGGACGGTTCGTCCCTGTCCACATGGTTGTTGAGGATTCCTCCATGTGGTCTAGTCAAACTATTCCCGGATTGGATTGTTTTCCCCTGGTACATGATGATGGTGTGAGGTGTGTACAGTTATAGGTATATATATACATACATATTAAATATATATGTGGATTCATTTTCGGGTTGAGATTCTTGAACTTGTGCTTCGTGAGTACTCTGCACAGGCATGAACATTTGATTTATGGTTTTGAAAGGCTGTTCGGCAATATACGCCTTGGATAGGGTTTGGTTGTGGGAAAGAACTAATAATAGGAAAGGAACTTGTAAAGTGTTCAGTGTGTGCCTTGTCGAATTTGATGTTGTAAATGAATCTAAATTTAATCGTTAGTGTTACTTTAAATAATCGTATATTATCTGAATCGTGATTGTTGACTTAAGAACTACGTGTGTAGCTTGATCCCAAACAAAGGGGTTCGTAGGTAGCTTGGGGTTTAACCTAGGTGCAGCCACAAAATAAACTATTTGAGTTGTGCTTGTATTGTTCTAAGGTCTTCTTTGATTATTGTTACGTTAAGTGTTGGGGTTTAACATAGGCCTGTTTATTTGTTGTGTGTAACGTACTTTTTGCATGCTGAAGTTTGGAGATTATTAAACTGCATTTTTTATAGGTTGAAAAATTTGGTAAAGTTCATATTTTAGGGGAGACTCTGCCGAAATTTTGGTAGAAGTCTGGGCCATCTTTTCCTTCATTTTAGAGGAAGAGGATGTTTGAAACTAGTAAGTGGGCCCGACATTGGTAGGATGTCGGAAAAACTACAGGATCTGTCACAGATTCCAAGGAATTCGGGGCAAGTCCTGTCATGCATAATGCCCTTGCATTTCCATTTGCGTGTTGTATCATATAATTTGATAATTAGGTTATGTTTGAGTATAAAAAGGAAAGTCACATATTATGATTTTGTTCTTGCCAATATTGTTAATGGCAGAATAGACATGGATCGAAAGAGAAAGAGGAAGATTGTGACAACTCTAATTGCAATAGAGTTAGAGAAACAACGTTTGTGTGCATCCATGATGTTAGTAACTATCATATATGATTTCACAACATGGTACTATGAAAAGTACTATCTTAAGAACCGAACCTTTGTTAGGCATGAAACTTGTTTGAGTGTTCTAGATAGATGTATAAGACATAGTGATATAACGTGTGTGAATGAACTTTGAATGGATAGAAAAACATTTGGCATGTTGTGCGAATTACTTCATACTCATGGGAGGTTGAAGATGTATGGTTTAGTGGCCATTGAGGAGCAAGTTTGTATGTTTTTATATATTCTTGCCCATCGCATAAAAAAATCGTATGGTTCATGATACATTTGGTCGATCTGGTAAGACAGTGAGTAGGTACTTCAATTCAGTTCTAAATGCTATCCTGAGGCTACATGAGATTTTATTAAGAGTGCCAGATCATGTGCCTAATGATTGCATTGAGGAAAGATGGAAATGGTTTAAGGTAGGTTTATAGGTTCATATTGAGGTGTTCATTGCGATCTAGTTTTTGGAATTTTGATCCATGAATTGAACCATCTATGTTTTGTTTGTATAGAATTGCTTGGGAGCTTTAGATATGACGTATGTAAAGGTGCATGTGCTCGATATTGACAAGCCAAGATATCGAACAAGAAAAGGTGACATTGCCACTAATGTATTAGGAGTTTGTTCCCGAGATATGAGGTTCATATATTTGTCTTACTGGGTTGGGAGGGTTTAACATCAAACTCTAGAGTACTTCGAGATGCAATATATAGGCCACATTGGTTAAAGGTTCCGATGGGTAAGATTAATGTAGATACCATATAGTGTAGGTGTAAATCATCCTAAATTTGAATTTTATTTTTTAATTAGCTCTTATATATTGTTTAGGTTATTATTACCTCGTGGATGCTGGTTACACAAATTGTGAGGAATTTCTTACACCCTACAGAGGAACGAGATATCACTTATCGGAATGGAGAGAAGGATGTGCACCCTTGAACCATCGAGAATACTTTAACATGAAGCATGCATCAGCAAGAAACGTGGTGGAACGTTGTTTTGGACTTCTTAAGATGCGTTGAGCAATCTTAAGGAGTCCATTGTTCTATCCAATACAAACACAAGGCCAAATAATAATGGGTTGTTGTCTTTTACACAACTTAATTAGGAGAGAGATGTCTATAGATCCAATGGAGAAAGAAATTTATTATGATCCCCTCATTGAGAACAATGTAGATTATGGCACTACTGATACCATTGCCGCATCCGACCAATAGTCTGCATGAAGGGATAATTTGGCTACTGATATGTTTAATGGGTGGATGGCACATAGAGCAACATAAGTATTTGTTGATCATTTGAATGTACTTTAAAGAATTTTCGTGTTATTATTAATTTTGTGAATTTTTGGACTATTTTTATGGTATCTTCATGTGATTTCTTATTTTTTTTAATTTTGTGCACATGTTTTTTTAATTAAATTTAATTATTTCTGATATTAAATAATTTAATAAATTTTAAAATTAATTTTAAAATAAAATTGTTTTGAAGTCCAATGTAGTCCAGCCCATATTTGTACCAAACAAAGGACTAGACTTTAGTCCAGTGCAGTCTAGCCCAACTTAATGTACCAAACAACTTATTAAAGCTTAACCCTATCCAAGCCAAATCAGTCCAACACTCCAAGCTCAATCCTAAACAATTCAGTCCAGCCCACCAAACATGGCATTTAGTTTTATGAGTTTGATCAATTGAAGAAGAAAGAATATATGTTGGGTAATTCGTTTTGATATGTTGAGTGTTTTTTTCCCTCTACGATAGATTTTTTTTTTTTTTTTGGTATGGATAATTCTAAGAGAGAGATTGGCAAAGAGAGAGAAAGATTGATAGAGATTTTAATTATTATTTACTTTTAATTGTTTTTAATATTTATAATATTTTAATAATTAATGTGTCAGATGGGCCACAACAAGGACACATTGGTGATGAGTGGTGGGCCATAGTAAGGACACGTTAGCATTTAATGGAGGTTCTTATGACAACACGGATGGAGGTATGAAATTGATAGTAAAAATAAGGGAGTTTCACTAAAACACCCAAAATGGGGGCTGAAATTATAAAAAAAATTCAACATCCAAAACACTTTATAAACACACCAAAAACCCATCATTACACACACTCAAAACCCATTTATAAATACACCAAAAAAATATACAATTGTTGATTTTTGGGTTGATTTTGGGTGTGTTTCTATGTTTAAATAGTGTTTGAGTTTTTTTATAAATACATGTCTAAGATTGAGTTTATTTATAAATTTGTATAAAAATAAACATTGGGAATGAGAGTGAGAGGAAAAAAAAACTTTGGGTATCAAAGTCAAAATTTTGAGAAACTTGAGAGTGGGATTTGAACCCACGCCCTTTCGGACCAGAACCTTAATCTGGCGCCTTAGACCAACTCGGCCATCTCAACGATGTTGACAAGTTTTCGCAATTCAAGCTTTTTGTTCTATTGGTATTTTAAAGAAGGTGGTTGTGTTGTGTTGAACAAATTCACCAGAATGAGCTTCTTAAACTACATTCTTAGATAAAGTTTAAGGAATAATTGAAAAAACACAACTTGACAGAACCCGCCCTGAATTTCCCGAAATCCGAGACGAACCCTGCGGAGACCCCGGCATCACACCCACGCCAAGTTCACTCCTTAAAACTATGTCCTCTTTTACCCGAGAGGATTTAGGGCACGAGACTTTCTGCCGAAATTCCGGCAGAGTCTCCCCTGTAAATTTAACATTTCCCCAAAATTTCCACCTGCATAAGACACATTTTATAACCCAACCGGCAGCACGCACAATATAATCTCATGCAATTTACATAAATGGCCTCCGGCCTTCAAATGATTCTAGCAGAACTGCCCACAATGTTTTTAAAATAACTTAATGCATCAAACATGCATATAATAAATTCAAAATCTATTTATGCACACCTTCACTCACTTAGTCCCCAGGACAAGCCTCAATTCAACCAA